AAAGAAAAGATTCTGTGCTGTTCCAGTTGCCTCATCATTAAATATTTATTTCATTAATTCATCAAACTTTCATTGAGCATCTGTTCCATGTTACCAGTGCTTCTATTCTGACACTTTTTAAATTCTATGACCAAGTCTCGTGAGATAGTTCAGCTGTCTAAGCACTTGCCCAGCAAGCACAAGGACCCAGGTTCAATCCCCAATACCACATACCAGGCATGTCATGCAGCCCTGCCCCAAAACTTGGTGTGCATGGTGGCACACGCCTGTAATCTCAGCACTGGGGAGGCTGAGATGGGAAGATCATTATAAGTCCAAGCTGCCTACTGAGAGCCTGCACCAAGTAAATAATTTTTTTAAAAATTATATAACTACCTCCAAAAGATCCAATTCCTGGCGTGCATTTCTCTGAGGTTTTATTCTCTTCTTTTCTCCCCACATCTGATCCTTCTATTCTTTGTCTCTAGGTAGGAAGAAGAAATAGCCCTCAGGTCCTCTGCAGGGAATGAATTTGCGACCATGAAAGAGGTCCCAAAATACTCTTGTATCAGGTCAGACCCAAAGACAGAGACATCAAGGAGCTCTCCAGAACCGTACAGCCCAACTTTGCCCCTACTCCTTATCCCCGGATGCTCCAAAGCTCCCTAGGTGGCCCCTGGCATCAGCGTAGAATGACAGCTCCACAAAGGGCAATAGTCTTGGCCCTCTGGCCACTGACTTTCCAACTCCGATGGTCCCATGACTGTGAAAGGCAGGGCACGCTGCAAATATGAGTGGACAAGGGAGCACATGACGCTATGGAGCCACAGCAGCCTAAGCCAGCAACCTCAGCAAACACAGTGTGAGCAGCAGTCGTCAACCCTCACCATTTAGACCTGACCATACAGTCCACTCAGGTGTCAACAGAGGCCAGGAGGTGAGTGCAGCAGGCTGTGGCCAAAGTGCTGCAGATGGCAAGGAAGGAGCTATGACAAAACAAAAGGCAGAGCCCACTGAGGCAGGCTGCCCAGAAATTCAGATCTAGCGCAGCCAGATCCTTTCAAAACAAGCCAACTGTTAGGTTAGTTACCTCCATGCCAACCAGGTTAATTACCTCCATGCCAACATTGCTTGGGAGCACTTACTTGCAATGGGTGAGGCCCCTTCTCAGAGTCAACAGTCAGTGGTTGCCTGACCTCTGACTTTGAGCCCAGAACAAGGAACCTTAATAACGCTGCCTCGTCACCCAGAACACTGCACTAGGACCACGATGACCCAGTCTGAGCAGCAGGGTGAGGCGACCCTCAACGACACCTACTGCAAGCTGGCAGGGCTGGAGGAGGCCCTGCAGAAGGCCTAGCAGGACGTGGCCTGCCTGCTCAAGGAGTACCAGGAGGTGATGAACTCCAAGCTGGGCCTAGACATCGAGATTACCACTTATGAGAACCTGCTGGAGGGCGAGGAGCAGAGGTGCAGTCCACACCTTTTTCCACATGGGAAAAGATGTCTTTTCTATCTTCCAAATAATGCTGCTGGGCTTCCCAGCCAGGAACATGTTTGCACTCTCTCTACAACTAAGTTGTAACGAGATTAACTAGAGGAGGGAATCTGCAGGTTAAAAGATCTCATTAGCTTTGCTCTCTCTAATTAACTTTTGTCTCTTTACTCTCCCCACAGGTTGTGTGAGGGTATCGGTCCTGTGCCTATAAGTAACTGATGCTGTGATTTTGAAAATAATGGCTAGGGATTCTAGCGGACAATCTTATTCCTTTCCTGGTGCTGGCCCTTGATCCCAGGGTCTTGCACAAGCTAGACAAGCACTGGTCCACATTCCAACTCCGAACTTTTCCTTAAAGAGTCAGGCAGTAAATATTTCAGACATGTGGGTGGTACAGTCTGTGTCCCAACTACTCAACTCTTACAGCGAAAGCAGCCACAGCCATGGGCAACACTTAGTAGGTATGACTGACTTTTAATAAAACTATTTACAAAGCAAGAAGCCAACACAGAGTCTGGGGGCACTGAAGTCACTGTTTCTACCTATAGGGAGGGCCTGGGGGAAGAGTGTACCACGGATACTTTGGGTTGCATACAGGAAGCAGTGCCCAGAGTAAAGGGGAAGATGCTGGAAGTCGAGGGAGGAGCCGTAGGCAGAGGGGCTCAGGCCATCTAGCCAGGAGGCAGGGGCGGCAGGCAACAATCCAGTGGGAGCTAAACTCTGCCCTCCTCCCACAGGTGTCAGCAGGTGACCCAGCAGGGTCATGTTCAGGGACTCGTGCATGCTGGGCTCTCAGCCCATGACAGGCAACGTCTACAGTGCCCCATGCAGCAGGTGGAACGTGACAGGGAGCACCTGCCCATGTGTGCCCCATGGCCAGAGCTGCAGCAGCTACTGCTCCATACACATCACATAGTTGCCCAGCTTTGGAAAGACTTCACCCACAAATCACAGCCACTGCTTGCACCCCAGAGCTCCAAAGCCTGGGACAGGAGGAGGAAGGGCTTCATGCACAGCGAGAGGCCTGACTTACCCCACTGTTGCGTGCCACAGACTCAGTTCACCCCCCACACTTGTTCCTTGGCCTGTTCAGCGGTGGGCCAGGCTTGGACCTGAGTCTGGTGGTGCTCACTCAGCCACAAGCACCTCCATGACGGGGTTCTTTGACAACCAAGGCAAAGACCCAATCCCAGCTTGGGCTCCTCCTGGGGCTTGGATACCTGGGACTGCTGAGGGGCAGACTGGCCTGGAGTCCCTTATGTGCTCCGTCTCCCTCCCTCCTTTGAAACCCAGCTTTGGTGACAGGCTGCGTGTGGCCTCCTAATGTTCTAGCTTCCTGCAGTTTCCCCGCTCCCTCTCATCCCTCACACTTGGTCTTCAGGTTTCCAATAAAGCCCAGTCATGAACAACTGCTAGTAATCTCTGTTGGTCCTGCCCACTTTAACTATCTGCCCTCTGGAGGGTGGTAGATGAGGAGCTGTTGTCAGCCATAGAGGGCAGGAGGGCAACTCCCAAGGCCCCTGCCCCTACCCTGCACACACCACATCCTGAAAGGTGCAGAGGTGAGCCAGAAGCCCCCAAACCCAGACACACAAAACCACAGGCAGAGCAGGAGGAGCAGCCGGGCCTCTGAAACCTTAGTAAGGATGTCACCACTCCAGGCTGTGGTGCTTCTTGTACTCCCACAGCCTGCCCCCAGGTTAGCTGGGAAAATTCCCCACCTGTAAGGTTGAGTACAGACCTCTCCTCAGCACCCAGTACGTTCCAGATGCTACCCCACATGCAAACACCACCATCACCACTGAGTGTCCCACATGCCACAGTACCCACTCAATGGGATACTGTGCACCAGGGACCAGGTCCCCGTGCCTCGGCTCTGGTGCAAAACTTCCACAACACAGACATAGACCCCCATGTAAAGATCTTGGCTTTTGGAGGCCCCATCAAGCCCAGATGCTCCCTACCTTTTCCTTCCTGCTCTGAGATCCAGACAAACAGCCCACCCCTCTGCCAAAGGCCCCGAGCACAGACTCCCTCCCAGTGACCAAGACTCTGAGACCCCTCCCATGTACACACACCCTCCACCCACAACCATCACTCCTACAGAATCCCAAACACAAAGACCCCCTCCAGCACACCCCCACACACACCTATCCAGGGCCCCAGAGCCCCGCGGATCCAGCACCTGTGCCAGGAGAGGGCAGCTGGCCTGAGGTGGCCTCCTAAAACCTGGGCCTGCAGCAGCGGAATGTGTGACCTTCTCATTGCAAAAGGAATGTATACTGGCAGTGGAGAGAACATTAGGTGTAGGGACACAAACAGCCCCGCCACTCCCTAGACTGGAGGATTCCAGCAGTCACTTATGGCAGAGTCAGAAGTTCCTGTGGCCTTCCTGAGCTTCCCAGAAAGAGGCAAAGTGCCACCCTGGTAGAGTCCACCCTTACAGCAGCACTCCTGTGTCACTGTGTGCTTCCTCAGTCTCCTCCATAGGAAGCTTCCTAGTTATCAGGGCAGACCCTGACCTCCCTGGTCCATCCTCCCCACCCCCTTCCCTTCCTGCCCAGTAAGTCAGGATGCCAAGCACCAGGCATTGAATTCACTCAGGATTCAAAAGGCTCTTTATTGAAGTGATTCTGACATCTTTCTCCAAATGTTGTACAATCTTAGGCTAAAGAGGAGAGAGAACAAAGGGAATCTTGGGACTTTCAGCAGAGGGACAGAGTCTTCCACACCTGTGGCTCAATGGAGAGTGCTCTCTCTGGTGGTAGAGGTGGTCCTGATGGAATAGGCCTTGACAGACCCAGTGCCCCCGCTGCTAAACCGCAAGGCATTGCTGCCCATGGTTCCCCCAAAGACCAGCCCGATGCCACCACCACCACCACTGGAATTCATCACAGCTGCAAGAGAAGGGAGGAAGTGGGCCCCATGGGTACAAGGACCCGAGCAATCACTTCCCTCCATTCCACCCACCTCTCGTGCCTCCCAGCCCACCCGACCTCCCTCCCTAACCTGACCATCGGCCAGTACAAAAAGAGCCTCAAGAGAGGGGGCGATGGTGGTGGAGGCCTCCCCACAAGGCTCACTGCGCTGGGGCACTGAGCTGGACATGGGTTCCTGGAACCTGCCAGAGCTGTGGGAGGAAGGAGGCTCCCAGCCCCACAAGCAAGGCCCTCAGACCAGCTGGCCATTCTGAAAACCCCACCTAGCTGCACAGCACAGCGGCAGCAGCCAAGGACTTACAGATGTTCGCGGCTCCCACTCCATCTCTGGTCAACCTGGGGACAGAGGACAAACTGTGAGAATAGCTCTTGCCTCAAGTCTGGGGCAGGCACTGCCAGAAGCCCCTATTCCCCGCCCCAAGCAGGTTCCTTACCTCCAACTTTCATTCATTCTTGCTGCCAAGTGAGGGGCCACTCAAGCCCTTCCCCTGCTGGCCACATGAGCTGGGGCTGTGTCCCAAAGCCTCCATCTCCCACCTACACACTGGACCTAACTAGTGGACCAAAGTCATACCTTGTCTGTGACAGCTAAGTAGTATAACTCACCTAAAGCCCTGCACCCCAAAATTTGGTAAATGGTAGTCAAACTTCCTACTTAAACACATATCTGCCTTCATTCCCCAGGGGAAAGTTAGAAAAGTCCTAAAAGTCGCCTATTTATTCCTGCATCTCTAGCCCCTGACATGAGGGCTGGAACATGGTAACTATCTATACATGTTGAAATAATTAATGAATCGCCAATTGATTTAACTGCCACTTCAGCTTGACAGGACTGAAGAGGGTGGGGTAGGTGGGGTAGCTTTAAGCAGCCTGTGGGGCTGAAACAGGTCTTGCAATGGGAACTAAAAGTCTACCCGAGATAGCTGGGTCTGTTTGTTCTGTGACTCACAGGCCCATTGTCACCAAGCCCTTGGCCTTGGGGATCAGTTAGAGGGAGGACAGGGGAGGCAGCACCTCCCTTTGGTGGTGGAGGTGTGGAGCTCAGCTGGCCTCCACAACCCCGAGGAAAGAAGGGGACAGGCGATGGGGTTTAAAACACTTCTCAGAATGGCCTCTGCTGGATGTGCTACCAGTTATGGAGGAGGAGGGCAGGCTGCTACCATGCAGCAGCTCTACACAGCAGCTCTCGTACACGGCCTAAGAAACTTGGAAGCAAGAGATCTGCATGTCCATGTCTCGGTGATGCGCAGTTTTGATTTTTTTTTTTAATCTAAATAAGTATTCTTGCACCTAATTTTTATTCATAATTTTGTACTCTCAAAAGCACCTCCCACCACATTGTGAGATATGGGACCACAAGCTTCCAACTGCCCTAGAAAGGGCTGAAGGATTAAGGGATAAAAGGAAGGTGTCCACCAGGGACACCTCTCACCTCCGACACTCAGCCTGAATCCAGTGACCTGGCATTCAGAAGGGGATGGATGTCCTGTCTTTCCATGTGACCTTGGGAAGCCACTTACCAGCTCTGAGCTCCAGTTCCCTCATCAGCAGGGGAAGAAGTTATAAGGCTCCTGGTGCTAAGGGATCTCCCCAACTCTTACTTCTATGGGGAAAAGAGGCCAAGCGTGTGGATTCCCAAATATTATGGCTGCTAAAACCATGGGCAGGAGGGTACAAAGAAAAGCAACATGGACAGAGCTGCCCTGTGCCCAAGGTCAGTGTCTTTCTTCCCAGAGGCCTCTACCGTGCAGTTCCTCTGCCTGCAAAGAAGCCTGGATATCCACTCAGAGAACGGCCAGTCAAGTGCAGGGGCAGGAAACCCACCTCCCAACCCATGTCCCTTTCCTCCTCCTCCTCCTCCTCCTCCTTCTCTTCCTCTTCCTCCTCCTCGTGCTCCTCTTCCTTCTTCTCCTTCTCTTCCCAGCATCCCAGCAGTCTTCTCAACATACCTTCATCTTCACCCCTTCCTCTCCCTTCCATTCATCCTCCATCCTCTCTCCTCAGGCCCTCTCCCCAGCCCCTTGGGAAGAATGCTCAAAAAAGGAAAACATCCTTTAGAAATTCAGCATCTGAGAAATACAAGATGCTCCTCTCTGAGTTCTTCTTCCACAGAGGTTTTGCCTCCTCAGCACCATGTAGCCCCCCTGAGGGCAGAAGCATGTCATGCATCATCCATCTCCACATTGGGTGTTAACAAGCCAGCACAAGCCCTGCTTCCACACCTCTGCCACACCGCAGCTTCTCACCCGTCCAAATCCCAGCCATCCTCAAGGCACACCTCTAAAGCCTTGCCTGTCAACAGGAAGCTGTGGCTCCCATGAAGAACACACTACACATCCAACCCACAGCAGCCTCTGCTTTGGCTGCAAGCATGTATGCAAATATCTTGGGGACAGAGCAGATGAGTCTCCTCACGCACACTCAGTCCACACAACTGATACAGCAGAGCAGAGGTAAGCAGCAGCCTGGAGGCATGAACGCTGCTTGGAGCAGGAATCAGCCCAACCTGAACCACACAATGGCCCTCTTCCCTCCATTCATAAAACAGAACCACAGCTTTTCCCTTCAGCAGACCAAGAACTCATTACTATCTGATTGAGCACAGGCTGAGGCTCAAATAAGACACCAATGCTAAAGGCTACACATATGAGGAGCTTCCCTTCCCTGCTAGGTCACTTCATTGAGGGCAAGGCAGCACACATCAGCTCTGTGCTCCCACATGTCCCACCCCTGTGCCCTCGGAGGAGGACACACAGCAAATGCCTGTGAGGCATGGGTAGCAAGTCTAAGCCCAATGAACCTCATAACCTCCTGTCCAGCTCCCTGGCCCTCACCTGCTCTCCTCGCCCTCCAGCAGCTTGCGGTAGGTAGCGATCTCGATGTCCAGCGCCAGCTTGATGTTCATGAGCTCCTGGTACTCACGCAGCTGCCGGGCCATGTCCTGCTTGGCCTGTTGCAGGGCGGCCTCCAGCTCCCT